TGTGGTCAGTGCATAACCCTCCCCCATATTTCAGAAATATACAATGCATATTACATAAGATTTAAAAGAGCATATTTTAATAATATCTAGAGCTGTCACTCAATAATAATAATATATCATTTATATGCCGCCCATCTGACTGGGTTGCCCCAGCCATACCTGGTGGATCTAAAAAATAATAATAGTAAAAACACACCTTCTAAACCTTCATTGAAAGGAAGAAAAAGAAGTATATTTCATTTTTAGAATCTTAGTGTAGTAAAGTTTGGAGAAACAGAAATAAACAGTAAATCATGACAATTTTCATGATTTTTTATGTTCCTCCAGTCCAAAGCATTGCATAATTTAATTTGAAAAGCTTTAATACAACCATTGGATCTCTAGAACAGCAAATCACTATGCAGTTAAGAAACTGTTCTCAAACGGACAGGTAAGGCTCTCTGACCCAACAGCAGCATTTATTAACTTTCATCACTGTTGCCTCTCCATTAAGCTTTTTGGAAAGAGAGGTGAGAAGAGAGATGGTACTGTAACAGCCACTTCCATTAACACACTGTCTAAATCTTTCCAGATAAATGTCACTAAAGACAACTGCTCAGGCTAAGATATGCTTGTGTTTTTCCATCAGAGCAGTTGCATCATCAGATATGCAAGGCTAAATATTGATGGTGGCAGTTGCAACACTGCAGCGCCAACCACTGCATTTTTGCACTCGATACAGGAATCATATAGCCTACTTCGTAAAAAATATTGAATGACCTGTGTATGTCTTCAGCTGCCGCAGAGCATTTCTGAATACTCTTATTGATATAATATGCTCTCGCACGTATGCCAGTCTTCATCACATGGCAGGCGAGCAAGGAGTGGCCACATTTTGGTGCACTGCTCTGTGGACAGTTCCATGGGAATTTGCTTTGGTAGAATCTGCCTGGGTGGGCTTTGGGAAGGAGGTGGGAGGGCTCCTGGACTCTGCCAGAGCATTGCGTCTCCCTCCCTCAGATGGGCAGAAGCTTCCTGGGCTTTGGGAAGAAGATGGGAGGCTCTGATTTGGGAAAAGAAAAAGGTCCCAGAACTGCATTCCGGAGCATTCTGCCAGAAAAAAGCATTGATGAAAGCAAATGTCCCTATGCTAGCTATCAAACCACTTAATCTAATCTTACCAGGATTACAACAGTTTATTACTTCTCTGGGATTTCAGATCATAAGCATTTGTATTACATATGCATGATTATTGTTCAAAGGATTATTGTATGGAACTAAGACACTTAAGTTTTTTTCTATCTCATGTTGTTGTTGTTTAGTCGTTTAGTCATGTCCAACTCTTCGTGACCCCATGGACCAGAGCACGCCAGGCACTCCTGTCTTCCACTGCCTCCCGCAGTTTGGTCAAACTCATGCTGGTAGCTTCGAGAACACTGTCCAACCATCTCGTCTTCTGTCGTCCCCTTCTCCTTGTGCCCTCCATCTTTCCCAACGTCAGGGTCTTTTCCAGTGAGTCTTCTCTTCTCATGAGGTGGCCAAAGTATTGGAGCCTCAGCTTCAGGATCTGTCCTTCCAGTGAGCACTCAGGGCTGATTTCCTTCAGAATGGATAGGTTTGATCTTCTTGCAGTCCATGGGACTCTCAAGAGTCTCCTCAGGCTTATTATACTATGTTATATATTAATGGATGTTTTCAAGGTTATAAGATGTCAGTTAGGGGTTTCCCCCCTCATTGAAGCAGTTAAAACCATGCTTAAGGCAGCTTCCAAAATATTAAAGAAACCACATAACTACAAACATAACAAAAGTAGTCATAAACAATAGACAAAGCACCAAAAGTACGCAACCAAATAAACAATAGCCCAGCCCCAAATTCTGGTTGGTCTCACCTTGGTTAAGAGTTGGGGCTGAAATGTCGGGCCTAGACAGTCTCACAGCAAGGGTGTCTATGTGGACCCTTAATCTTCAATCCCTTTGCCGCCAGCACTCGCATCTGCAGAACTTGTTTGCCATGTATGGGCCAACCTGAGTGATGCTAGGCAAGATATTGCATGAACACAAAGTAACCCACAAAAAACAACGCTGCTCAGAAAGTAGTATTTAAGTCTCCCAGGATGTTATGAGTCAACAACAACAAATGTTTCAAAGGGAAACTCCAAATTCACTTGGAGTCAAATCCACTGGCAACCTTGGCACTTTGGAATGTTGTCTCAATGTATCATCAAAACTCCTTGCTCACTATCAAAAAATAATTAGGTATCCCTTTTCATTAACTAGCAGGAGCTAGTTATACCCATACTGACTGGATATTACTCATTTGATGGTTCTGGATTCATTTATGTTATGCAGAGCATTTCTGAGGTGTTTTCAATAACTTTTTTTTTCCAAGGTACAGAATATACATTTTGAGAAAAAAATAGTTGCAGCAGTAAACAACAAATAACTTGTTCTGATAAAATAACAGACTTTTGTCATGCTATATAATAAAGTTTCATTTGATTATGTACTCTAAAAGATCATGCCATATTTTCCGATGAGTGTTGGGTGGATTCCTGCCATAGTATGAAAATATATGTATTCAATAAACATTTGCCATATGTTATAAAAGGAATAGGGATTATGTTTGCCCTCTGCTGATGCAGAGTATTTGTGACTCACCTACAGTCTCTTGCATTGCAGAGAAGCAATGGATTTGAAGTTCTTTACTTGAAATACATTTTTGCATCTTTCTAAATGGAGTTACTTCAGCAGAATGTGGGAGAACTGAAGAGAGGGTCTTAATAGCCCCCTTTGAAATTAAAATATTTGAAAAGCACTCCACATATGTTGGAAAAGCTTATAAAGATTTATACTACCTATAGTCAGGCATGTGCTAGGTGGTATTTTATGAGAAGGAAATTATTTCAGTTATCCATTGCTGCACTTAATTTCAAGCAGTCAAGCTGTGCAGCTAAAAAATTGGGGGAATTGTTACTTTCCTATTTCATATTCATATTTGCAAATAGTTCCTAATACAGTGAGAAAGTGAGTCTTCATAGATTACTATGAGATGCTCCATGTCACGGAACAGAACATGGTTCTTTGCCTAGACACCAGGGCAATCTAATGCAATTTTGTCCTGCATACTTCCTTCATGGAATCATTTATACAGCTAGCCTTCATTACAGGACCACAGCTCCCTGCCTCTGGGGACGTGCCATCCATCTCCCCTTACAGATCAAAAGTCATTTTGTTACTTTAGGAACATTAATATGTATTATGTACAACCTGTTTGCAACTTAATATTCGGTATATTAAAAGAATATAATTTATTTAGTCAATTTATAATTTATTTAGTCATTATTCAGTCAATTGATTTTGCTTTTTATTTTTATTTTTTTATTTTGATACAAACAAAGCTATAAGCTGCTGAACAGTAAGGAACCTAGCATCTCTTTCATTTTACCAGTTTATGAGGAGGCAAAAAACAACAAAAATAGAAGTAACCATCAATATTATAGTAAAGAAACTTTAAATATTATGGGTTCTATTGAAGAATTCCTACTCAAAGTAGAGCCCTTGCAATTAATGACCATAAGTTAGTTTTGTCTATTAACATCGGTAGGCCTACTCATAGTAGGACTAGCATTGAATACAACTGCATTTCCTTCAGTCTTCCACAGTGCCCAACAGATATAAAACACCCATTTTCAAAGAAAGAGCTGCAAAAAGGAGAAAAGCCAGACTGAATTAAGACTACATGGAATTTAATCAGTTTCATTTTTCAGAGCTACCACTATCCATTTCTGTTTCTTCTGCTTCTCCACATTGTCATTATATTTATTGTTGACTTTGCTCAGATTGAAACGAGCATTTCTAGCGTTTCACAAGTCATTGTTCAATTTTCTATTGTTTGGGGGAGGGGAAAGGTTTCAACACTGAGGTTTCAATGAGGGGTGTTCTCCTCATTTCCTGCAGAAAAATCAAGATGGTGTCATGGGCAGTCCTAGGCCCAGTATACCTGAAGGAGCATCTCCACCCCCATCGTTCAGCCCAAACACTGAGGTCCAGCGCCGAGGACCTTCTGGTGGTTCCCTCACTGTGAGGAGCCAAGTTACAGGGAACCAGGCAGAGGGCCTTCTCGGTTGTGGCACCCACCCTATGGAACGCCCTCCCATCAGATGTCAAGGAAATAAACAACTATCCGACTTTTAGAAGACATCTGAAGGCAGCCCTGTTTAGGGAAGTTTTTAAGGACTGATATTTCATTCTGTTTTTAATCTGTTGGGAGCTGCCCAGATTGTTTGGGGAAACCCAGCCAGATGGGCGGGATACAAATAAATAATAATAATTACTACTATTACTACTACTACTATTATTATTGCCACTGATGACAGAGAGATGCTGTTCTTGTTTGGTGATGTCTGCAGTCACTGCAAGCGGCCCATAAGAGAAGTGTTGCTGTACTGCTATGTTTCCCCCAGACTGCTGCAGAGCTAGGGGGCAAGCATTGCACGCTCCTTCCCTCCTAACAAAGGACATCATAATTAAATCCAAAAGTGGCATCTTTGGCTTAATAGAATATTTGGCAATGTTTCATCACTGTGTCTTTTGAAAATATTTGACAGGTCACTTTACCAGATACGAAAACTAGCTTTTCTCCAAGATAAATGTCCAATTAGCTCAAAAGATGAGATGGTACAGTGGTACCTCAGGTTAAGTACTTAATTTGTTCCGGAGGTCCGTTCTTGACCTGAAACTGTTCTTAACCTGAAGCACCACTTTAGCTAATGGGGCCTCCCGCTGCTGCTGCGCCACTGGAGCCCGATTTCTGTTCTCCTCCTGAAGCAAAGTTTTTAACCTGAAGCACTATTTCTGGGTTAGCGGAGTCTGTAACCTGAAGTGTATGTAACCTGAAGCGTATGTAACCCGAGGTACCACTGTACTGATTATCCATTTATATACACAAACATACCCTCATATTTCATACAGATCATAGAATTGTAGATTTGGAAGGGACCACAAGGGTCATCTAGTTTAACCCCAACATGAGGTCCAAACCCATGACCCTGAGATTAAAAGTCTCATGCTCTACCAACTGAGCTAGCCCAAAGTATGCATAGTTGTAAACATGAAGGCACAGGAGCCAACTTCTAAGGGCTGAGGTCCCTTTGTCCCCCCCCAATAAAATATTTGAGGGAGCTGCACCCCATTTGATCGATCTTGTGATCGATTAGGTGGGGCGGGGGCTTACCTGCGCCCCACCCAGTACTTTATTCAAGTTGGCACCCATGCATGAAGCACAGTCTTTTCAGAAACCCAAACATTTCAAAATGTTCCCCAAAAATATTTAGGAGAGAAAGAACCAAGTCTCGATTCTATATTTGCTTCTCTCCCCACATCATTTTTAAGAATGGAAAAGAGTAATCTTCTGGCTTTTGACAGCCACAGAAGGCTCTCATAATTGAGTGCCCCAGGGAACATTGGCAATATCACATTTCCAAACACTGCAGGAACTTTAAAGTGTGCGCCATGGAAAGTGTTTTGAGTCCCTGTGGGGCACTGGGAGTGAAAGGGTTACCACCGAATCTGTCTATAAAAAATTCCGCACTAAATCAAACTAGCCAGGAATGTAACAGTTGCTGCCTCGCTCGGTATCCGCGCTCTTTCCTAATGCAGCCCACTGCCTCCGAACCACCACAAGGGAGACATTCCAAGAGTTCTGTGTTCAAGCGTTTTTTGGCCGGCATCCATAATTCAGCTGGCATGAGCTCAGTAATAAATTCCGTGAATATGTATGCTGGTGGTGCCATGAAATGATCTATCTTACGCTATCCACAACCACATTCAAAGCATGACAGAGGGAACACGCAACGTTGCAGGGCTCAGTTCTGAACCTTTATTTTAAACTCAATTTAAAAGGCAATGAGATGTGTATTATGATCATGATAGTTGTGAAAATTCATTTTTTTTGACGTGTAGCTCAGGGTGTATATTTTATTGAGTCTTGCACAACACCACCTACACCGACGGTTCTGTCTCATTGATAGTGTAGACTTTTTTCTGCCTATTGTATTAAAGTAACTTATAAGCTGTTGATAGGAATCTGGAATCTGGAGAGCTCCTAGCAGAGCCCTGAGTGCTTTGAAAGCACAATATAACTAAATAGATTTAAAACAATATAAATAAAACAAAAATAACTTCCAGCACGTGCATCTTAGAAGTTGTCTTAGGGCAGAAACTAAGCACTGGTTGACTCAGCACAGAGATATAGGGTCAGACTTTGACGTTTTCTTCATTTAATGGGCTAGGCTATGGGATCCTAAAGTGCTACTTGCACTGGGTGAGGGATACTTCTCACCCTGACAAGGAAGTTGATAGTGCCACCTCTTCAAATGGCAGACAGGTGAGGGGATGGCTGAGGGCAAGCTGGGCTGGGCTCCTTCACTGGAAAGATGAACTACAAAAAATAGACACACCAGTTTCCATGTTAAGTAATTATCCTGGCCATATCTGGTAAGTATCTGTTTCATTGTGCAAGCTAGAGCCATGAGTTGCCACAGATACCAGTTGGTAGTATTTATTAATGTTATGCCTTTCTTGGCCTACTAGCTGCTCTTTTGTTTTGTAATTAAATGTTTTTCTTTCTTTCTTTTTACTGTATACTGCCATGTGATTGCAAATGAAAGTATTCTAAATCAATGGAAGATCTTTCCAGAAAATAAGCAGAAGAGGGGATGTCTTCCCCTTCCTCTCCTGGCTGGGAGTGAGGGGCATGTCCACATCAGAGCATCATAGAAGCTGTTAATCCACTTTTCCCCATTTGAATGATACCAGAGTTGTCTACACCCATACGTGCTTGAATCTGTATATGAGGAGCAACTGCGGTCTTTACTGTTTATACCCTTTTGTGCTTGTCTCCATCTTCTGATCTGTTGATTCTATTGTGCTGATTAAGTACCAACAAGGTGTGGGGGATAGCTGTGCAATATCTTATGTATTTTTCTTTTGTTTTGATCCCTCAGTTTTGCACAAAACCAGAAAACTGTACAAGTAAGTCATGTTATAATTTCCCCTTAGTATGGTTTGCTTGTCCAGTTTTCTGGTTTTGTGCAAATCTGAGAAATAAAATGAAGGGAGGCACGCTCCTCTGTTCAGGAGCAATGGAAATAATGTAGACCACAGCTGTCAAAGAAATTAAGGCAGTTGTAAATCCTCAGTACATACTTTTCAGATTAAAATGCTGTGTAACTTCTCCTGTAGAATTACCATATTTTCCTGTGTATGACGCTCCCATGTATAAGATGACCCCAATTTTTTTAACACAAAATTGACAAATTAAGTTGTTTACCTTTTTTGGGGGGGTGAGGGAGGTCACTTCTGCCAATCGCTCACCTGCCTGCCCGCCACTCGTTTGCCACAGCCACAGCCAATCGCATACCTCGCTGCAGACGCCAATTGTCTGCCCGCTCGCCAGCAGCAACAGCCCACCTGCGCACTTGCCGCAGTCACCAATCGCCTGCCCAATTGCCACAGCCAATCGCCAGCAGGCCTTGCCACAGCCACCAATCACCTGCCCAGTTGCTGCTGCCAAACTCCTACCTGCTGCTGCCATTAATCGCACGTACCCCCTCTGCATTCACTATCCGTGTATAAGATGACACCCAATTTTTGCTTCATTTTCTTTAGCAAAAAGCATTGCCTCATACATGGAAAAATACAGTGTTTTTTTTATGCAGTTTGCTTGTCCAGTGTTCTGGTTTGTGCAAATCTGAGGGATTATTGGGAAAATCAAGAGTGTGCTAGAAATTGTTATGAGCATGGCTGGAAAAAAAATTTAAGCATGGAGAGAGTAGTGGGTATAGAAAGGGGAGCAAAAAGTGCAAGTTGAGCCATCTACTAAACAAATAATCTATAACACTGAGTTTGGAGCCCAATTGGATACCTCCCATGTCTAGTTTAGGATATTAGGCCCAAGCAGGAGGCAGGGCTAGAAGCACAATGAGAAATTAGCTAAAGGTGAGAAGACCTGGTGTACATTTTTAATAAAACTATTTCTTATTCAACTTGTCTTACCTCACCACTAAACATTACTGCATTGGAATCGGTATAGAAAGAGACACAGAGTTGCTCTCTGAGAGAATCAGAAACTGTGACTTTGGTGCCTCACTTAGAAATTTGATAGGAAACAGAATCTGTTGGAACTGTCCATCTCAAGCTCAGCCTGTGCATATGTGTAAATAAGGATTGTATCACAGATATAATTGCCGCCATTAGTCTTCAGTGACCTTCATTCCATGGTATGGGACCCTCAAAGTCTCTCACCACTCAGAGACAGATGCATGCAACAATATTTTGCTAAACCCTGAAACCTGCTCTTGTCCAGAATAAATAAGTTTTTGTTATATTTAATTGGAAGCCACAGAAATGTCACTGATATAGTAACATAAATAGCATTGGCTGAATCTCTTTGAAATCCCTGAGTACAAAAATCACATATTTTTAGATAAAAGAACATCTGAGCATATCCTTGGTGAAGGTGCCCTTGAAAACCTTGTATTTGATATGCAAAATGTCTATGCAGTGAATTTTTCTTCTTCTCATAACAGCCCTTGATCATACCTATAGTTTCTAGAATGAATTTGCCTCTCCTGCTTTAAGTATCCACATATCATCCTCCGGGTAGGGTAATACATTTTATTCCTGTTGGCAGTAACATAAAGGATGCAAACTACAAAGATAAACTGTCCGAGCCCAACAAATGAAGAAAACACACACATCACTTTTAATAGCGAACTTGAGAGATGTAAAAATATAACCAATTTCAAAAAACGAAACAGAAAGCCACACAATTTGTATTCCCAAGGACTGCACTTTTTTGAAAACCTATTTTGCTACACCTGGACTGGAGAGGCAGACAGTGTTTCAAGTATGAGGCCCTGAAAATTTTGCCCACAATTGCTGCCACCTTTGAGCTTAGGCTCGCTAGTTTTGTTATCCTTGAAGTATCACTTATGTCCATGCAAGAGATTGTCTGAATAACAGCCTTTTGAAAATTAGCTCCCATAATTATGGCTTGCCAGAATATTCACAGCAACTTTCAGAGATGTGGTGTAGCAATGTGACATTCATTTCAAGCAGAAGGAATTTCCCACTTGAAAGATGGTACAAGCAGATTCAGGCACGATGCCCATGCATAGCAGTCATTTGTTGATACTGTGGATGTTAGATGAATCTGGCTCACCATCTAATTATCAGTTATAATTTTATGAGGGCTGTGCAAAATGAGGAGATCGTCATCCCTCTGTGCTTCTTTTGGTAGCTTGACAGCTTGCTTAATTTGTGCTAATGGGCAACTGATATTCTAAAGCCTGGCATGCGGGTCACATCTACCCGCGAGGTAGAGGAGACCAATGTTCTGCCTGTATGCTGCAGATGGCAGGACATTGATCAATTCAAGCATGGCCCCTGAAGGATAGTGTGTGTGTGTGTGCTGGTTTGAATGATATTGAGTTGGCTCAATTCTTGTCAGTCTTATTGACTTACAAGTGGTTTGTTGGTTTAGGGTAGACCATTCTAGCTAGATGGTCACATTCCCTTCTGGACAAGCTTCTGGAGGCCTCATGCTGATGGTGGTTGGGGCCACAAGCAAAAGGTGGGTGAGAAGGGAAGTGGCTTTTACCTTCTTAAAGTAAAGATAAAGGGGACCCCTGACCATTAGGTTCAGTCGTGGCCGACTCTGGGGTTGCGGCGCTCATCTCGCTTTACTGGCCGAGGGAGCCAGCGTACAGCTTCTGGGTCATGTGGCCAGCATGACTAAGCCGCTTCTGGCAAACCAGAGCAGCACATGGAAACACTGTTTACCTTCCCGCTGGAGCGGTTCCTATTTATCTACTTGCATTTTGACGTGCTTTTGGACTGCTAGGTGGGCAGGAGCAGGGACCAAACAATGGGAGCTCACCCCGTCACAGGGATTCGAACTGCCGACCTTCTGAACAGCAAGTCCTAGGCTCTGTGGTTTAACCCACAGCGCCACCCGCATCCCTTTTACCTTCTTAGAGCAGGTTATATTCCAGCTATGCAAAATCAGGGTTTTCTACACATACATACAGAG